CTGAGACAGAGTTTTTAGAAGATTAAATCTGAAGTCAGATAAAGAGGGAGTGGAAGAAAAAAACTAACCAGATCCAGGTTTTCTCGTCCACACTCGTCTCATCAACACAGGGTGAGGGTTCGTTCTCAATCAGATCCTCCCGCGTGTCTTCCGGTGCCAACAACGGGACTCTTATCCAGAACTAATGAACGCAAACATTAGCTGGGGTTAAATCAGGAGCTCAGGACTAATACATCAAATCCAATTACAGGCGTCTGACGGTCTCCCTGGTGCCGTTTCTTACGTTCGAGGTGTGGTGTCCAGTGTGGATGTGGTTCAGCAGCATTCGAGCTAGATTGGCATTATTGGGACCCTTTAGAGGGATCATGAAGACAGGGAGACCCAGGTAGGCTGAAAAGTTCAGCTCCTGTGCCAGAGCCTGGAGAGAAACACAGAGAAGGAAAAGATTAATGGTATAAAGTGAAGATTTTTGACATAAAAGCCAGGATTCAAGTTAAGCAAAGATATGAGAGAAGGATGACAACAGCTTTAGAGGAAAAGATTTTCCAAAATTCTGCAGAGATTGAGGAACTTACAGCTTCTGAATTCCTGCGATTCGTCTCGATTTCTGAATCTGCATCGATCCACTGAGAGAGCTTCCCGACAACCAGAGTATTCCAGTCTAAAAAGGGACACATAATTTAAGAACATATTTAAAAACTGAAATAATACAATTCCATACTATAGATTTGCCCCATGTGCTAAAAACCAATTAAATCCTCATAAAACTAAATTATTTCAGTCATCTAATGGAAGTTATTACATGCTGTTAACCTGAGCCAGATTATTCCACCAATATATCCATTATATCTTATATTTCCTCTCTGATACAATGTCACAGGAATGGATCAAGCTTTTTGTCTTACTAACCGTGACAAGAAGATTGCACATAATGGGAGTGAAGCAGTGCGTGTTAATGTTGATAGCTCTGCAAAAATAACATGAAATCATCATCTTCTCAAGGCTGTGGCAGAAAGGAAATAATCTAAAATGCATCAGCCTTTAGGGCAGAGGTCTGCACTCTCAATGAAATGCATACGAAGACTTATTCTTGAAACATCGAGAAATCAACCCTTCTAATATAAATGTGCACACACTGAGCTAAGGCGGCTGAAATAGTCATCAGCAGGTCTAGGGATGGGAATCTAAAACCGGTTCCTGTTTAGAACCTGTTCTGTGTGTTCCAATTCCGTGGCACCTTTTGGCAGCTCGCTTAACGGTTCCCTTAACGCTGGGCAGCACGCCGCTTTTTACGCGAGTTACGCACGGCATTCAGTAAGCAAGTACGACATGACCAGGCTTAAGTCTAGAAGAGCAAAAAAAAAAAAAAAAGGACGCCCCATTGGGTAAAGCGATCGAAAGTTTGGCTTTATTTTAAGGAAGAGAAAGATGGCAACAAGGCGCTTTGCAATCATTGCAAAGTGGCGATTACATCTGGGGGAGGAAATACATCCAACATGCAGAAACACCTGCACACACAACATGGCAGACATTTTAACGAATGCCGTCTTTTTGATGCATTCCAGACAGAAGCTAAAGTTACATCCAGCATGGAAGGAAACTCTGGTGGTAAGGAGCTAGTTTTATATCACTGGCTGGGCTTAATGTGGTTCCTGGTAAATCATATGTCATTTCTGGAAATAAAGCAATTTCCTACCTCTGTTTGGGGTTATCAAGCGAGTGTGCCTTTTTTCATTAATCCAGCCCTTCATTGCTAGCATGTTTAATTAGAACTACTGGTAGCTGGAATTCTTGCATGATGCTAGCTATTTCAATGGATGTAACGAAACATGCTACAAAGTTGCTCCGCAGTTCAGGGAGCGAGAGAAAGGTGACGCTCATTTATTTAAATCAGGGGGAGATGGGTTTGTTTCCCGAAATTGTATAGTAATGCTTTTTCATTAAGCGGAATCCATAAGAGAATCGAATCGTTTCACAGAATAGATAAGGGGATCAGAATCCTGAAAATCTTACAAATTCTCAGCCCTAAGCAGGTCAGATAATTTCAAAAAGTACCACACCAGTAATCAGTCAATAATTTGATCAGCCAATCTCTGCAATAGAGAAAGCTGAATACCTAGCGAATAATAACCCAATCAAAACTATAAGCAAATTTGAAAACATGTTAATTAAAATTGTGATCAAAGTTCAATGCTTTTGATTTGGGCTAGGATTAGATAATACCTGGAAAAACAAGACAAATTTTTTTTTAAATGCATTCTCTAATTCTAGGGTCTTCAACAGGGGGTCCGCGACCCCTAGGGGTCCACGGAGGTACTGCATGGGGGTCTCGAAAGTTTTGGTTGATTACACTTCTTTTATATTCCCCTAATTGAAATATCTTTAAATCCACATTAGCGTAAATTTAACAGTAAACAGATAAATGGAGGCAGATGTCTTTCAGTCATCAATGCACACATTCAGAGACACACAGGAGCTCTTTCAAGCTGGGCACCATTTCATTCACAACACCTGTCCCATCAACCAGGAATCAGAAATACTTTAATAATCCCAGGGCTAGATTACTTTCGTTACATTACTCCATCTGTAATACAGTAACTATAGGACCAGTTTGATATAACACAATTTCATAAAATATATATAATTAGGGGGGTCCCTGCTCCATCTCACCATCAGTTTGGGGGTCCTTGGCCTGGAAAACGTTGAAGACCCCTGCTCTAATTAGCATCATGTAGTATTGCTTACACATTTCTTCAGTTTATAAAGGTCATGGGAAGAATTTTTAATTATATAAAAATGAGGAATATGATCACTAACTATAATGTAGAAAAGGACATTTCTGAGATTTATAGTAGCTTGGTTTGATGACTAAAAGTAGGTTGCCAGACTAACCTCTTCCACAAAGCAGCAGATCTGAACGAGTCTGGGCCCCCAGTCTGCTTTTAGCGGGATCCAACTCAGATTCTCTCCTGAACCTCGGGTGGAACAGCGGCATGCACAGGAAGTCAAACCTGCACACAGGAGGAGGGAAAGCATCTTAAATCACACCGATAGGTTTAAAATACAAACCTGGAAAAACATCGAAACACATTTCAAATAAGCTTTAACCGTATGAAGAAATATAAAAGTGAACACCGCGCCCCCCCCCCATTGCTGTTTTTTAACACTTCAGACCAACATCAAGCATCGTTATGATTGGGGCACGTGCTGTAAACTCGCCGGCTAGCTTAGCCAGCATCACGCTCTGACACAAAAACCAACAAGCGCAAACTGCCGTAATACATCTAAAAACTCACACACAGAGAAAAACACTTTCCTTACCCGAGTTTAGCAACTGCGGCTAAAGTGTCAGCAATCTCTGGCACACAATTCAAATCTCTCCCGCAGGACACTCTGCTCCCTGTACTGGCGGACGCCATGGCTTCAGTCTCTCTCTGTCCAACCGAGCAAGGATACATGCTAACTTTCGAGGAAACTGGCGCCATTTTGGATCCAAAAGGACTTCTGGCAGGCTTTACGGGAGGCGGAAGTTGGAGCCAAAATGGCTTCCCATGGACTCCAGTTTCATATCTCGTAAATTATCGCGTTAATCAGCAGTTGATAATTCCAGTTTTAAGGACTTTCGTCTTTTTCCCGTATTCGGTAAAATAAGTGAACTAATGTGTGAATAATTAATTTAGACACGTGATTTTTTTTAAAAAGGAAAACATATAGCGTTCAGAAATGTCCCTTTTTTCACATTGTCTTTTTCATTTTTGCATTACAACATAAAATAGTAATTTACCATTCTGCATGAGATCCTTCCTGCCCCACACTGCAAGTAAAAAGAGTTATAACAATGCCTTATTCCATACTATTCTATTTAGAACCAATAAAGTGTTATTAAATTGGATAAATAATCAAATGATTGTTTATTGCAGTGAAGAAAGAGATGAAACAACAACAAAAAAGCTTCTGACATTATATATATATATATATATATATATATATATATATATATATATATATATATATATATATATATATATTTGAATGCATATGTGTGTGTACCTGTCAGAGTGAGGACCATTTTTCCAAATTTGTCATCAAATTGAGGACCAGTTGTTGCAAAGTGAGGACATTTTGCTGGTCAAGTTTAGGGCGAAGGTGTCAATTGGGTTAGATTTAGGGTTAGGGTGAGGAAGGCATTGTAACGGTTAGGTTTAGGGTTAGTTTTAGGGTTAGGGCATAGAAAGGGTTAAAAATGTCTGAAAATCAATGGAAGGAAATGAATGGGAGGCAACACATGGTCATCACTACAAATAGCAGAAGGAGTAGGTGTGTGTGTGTGAATAGAATAGAATAGAATAGAATAGAATAGAATAGAATAGAATAGAATAGAATAGAATAGAATAGAATAGAATAGAATAGAATAGAATAGAAAATCACTTTATTGTCCCACAATGGGGAAATGTTGGTGTACAGCTTTTAGAAAAAATGGTCACACAAATGTGGACCTTACAAAAGTATATAAGAATAACATAATAGTGAAGAGTTAAAGAATACACTCTATCTATCTATCTATCTATCTATCTATCTATCTATCTATCTATCTATCTATCTATCTATCTATCTATCTATCTATCTATCTATCTATCTATCTATCTATCTATCTATCTATCTATCTATCTATCTATCTATCTATCTATCTATCTATCTATCTATCTATCTATCTATCTATCTATCTATCTATCTATCTATCTATCTATCTATCTATCTATCTATCTATCTATCTATCTATCTATCTATCTACCCACCCACAAATGGACATGTACACACTCACACACACTGCTAAGATTGAAAGCTTTGCAGAAAGAGGCTTCACATCATATCTAATTCACAGCATGAAATGCAAAATATCACTTACAGATATGTTTGTGCGTCTGTGCAAGCTGTCAGATTTTGCAGAGCTATAAAAGGGTAAAAGGACGCACTTAGGAGCAGACATGAAAGTAGTCTTTCTTTGCAGGAACAATTCGTCGACAACCTAGTTGGGTTTGGGAAACGTACATTTGTCTGATTTTTGCCACCTCTTCAGTCTATTTTCGAATTGTTATCTTCTGTTTTATTTCAAAGGATGTACTAATTTGGTGACCCACCCTACTAGCTTTATTGACACTAGTATGGCCTTGGAGGATATTTGTAGTTTTAAAGACAAGCCCTTGCAGCGGTGGTTTCCTTTGTCAGCTTTAGAGACAGATTATCACAACCTTGAGTTGGAAAGCTTGAAGACAACACAGATAAACAGTGGGATTCCACAGCACATTTTCATGCCACCTTTCCCTCCGACCAACCTTTTCATCAGCAGGTCCACATCTCGTTCTGCACCATCAAACTATTCGCCGACAGTGGAAAGGCCTTTCCCTCTGACTCATGGAACAACAACCCTGGGTTTTGTTTTCCAAGGTGGAGTAATTGCAGCAGCAGACACAAGAGCAAGCGCTGGGGGGCTCGTCGCCTGTCCAGCTGTGCATAAGATTACCCCTATTCACTCCCATTTGGTGGTCACCTCCTCAGGCAGTGGTGCAGACTGCATGCTTTGGGAGCGCATTCTGATTAGAGAGATCAGATTATACGAACTGCGGCACAAGCGTCGACTCTCCATCAGAGGCTCTGCCAAGCTTCTCTCCTGTATGTTGCATCCATTTAAAGGCACTAATGTATGTGTGGCTCTCACTCTGTGCGGGTGGGATAAGGAAGGTGGCAGCTTTGGCATGGCTCACAACTTGGATAACCCATCTTTACCAGCTGATGTAAACCCTTCATCCCAAAGTAGTGGTCCAAAGGTTATCTACGTGTGCAGCGACGGTGCCCGACTGCAAGGAGACATAATCTCTGTTGGATCAGGGTCTCCTTATGCTTATGGAGTCCTGGATGGAGGTCTGAGTTGGAGCCTGAGTAAAGAAGAGGCCATCTCCTTGGCTAGAGAGGCAGTATTCAGAGCCACTCATAGGGATGCCTACTCTGGAAATAACGTGGACCTTTTCCATGTAACATCCCAGGGATGGATACAAAGACCCAGAGAGGACCTGAAAGAAGAATATTATAGAGACATGGAAAGAAAATCGAAACACAGAAGAGGAGAGAAAAGAAACGATACAATGGAAAGCAGTTAGATCAAACACTGGAACTGTGTTAGGCATTGGAGATGGTATTATACACCCAGGCTGATTAACTAAATAAAGGCGGAACTGGTGTTAACATTAAATTATTAGACTTTAGATAATATTTATTTAACTTTAGCAAATATTTCCTAATCTTAAATGGTTTATATATCGCATCACAAAAATAGTAACTAATATTCAAGGATTTTTTTTTTGTCACAGTGATAGATAGTATTCAGGAAAGCTTTAAGTACATTTTCCTGAAGGTTCCTTAAAATTCAAATAATTTTTGTTCTATTTAACCTTCAGGATAACCAAATAAAGGTTGTTTATAGACTTTAAACATTTAAATCATTGTAATATTTTATTTTTTTCGCCAGCTGTGTTAGTGAATGTATCACTTCCCGACCACACGGTGGCGCTGTGGGCTTTTTAAAACCACGGAGCACAAGTCTTCCTACTGAAGCCGGAAGTTGCTTGCTCATAGCAGTCTTTCAAAGATGGCTCTTGCTAGTGTGTTAAGCAGTGATTGTGCGGATTTTTCATCTGATTATCGGCAGCCGTTCGCTTTCAGCTGCGGTTCCGAACTGACCGAAGGAGAACATGAGGCCGTACCGGGAGAAAGTCTCAGTTTCTCCGTTAAGAACCCGCTGCTCGCTGCGGATGAAGATGGCGTTGAAAGGAAAATAGAGTTTCTCCACGGAACAACCACATTAGCATTTAAGGTGAGTTCAATATTCCCTCGCTGTGGCTAGATGCATTCTGTAGCGTCAAACCAATTGTACATACCACCCACAGATAAATTAGAATTGTTATAAACTAATACACAGGTGCTAACATCAAACAATGACCGAAACGTTAGCATGCTACGGCTAGCTCGGCTACAAACTGCTTTCTCATGCATCGTATTACTGTTATAATGAAATGTACTCTTATATAAAGAGCTATATTATGAATGTCTTCTTTATGTATTTAAACGTCACATTTCCCCCCATTGAATTACATTAGTTTGACAGTCTGTCATCTATTTCAGCTAGTAATCGTTTATAAACATGTAACTAACTTTCATCCTAATAAAATTGCATTTTGAGTCATTTAAGACAGTTTATGAACTAATGCTATATTTTCATCAGTAATGTTTTTTTTAATTAAGTATTTACACGCAAATGCAGTATAGATTCTCCTTCCTCATTGTTCTGATAAATTTTAATCACATTTTAAAACAAAAAGTGACAGTTGCATGTCTCGGATTCAGGCTGTGCTTTAATTACTTATTTACTTTCTGACATTTATTTCTAGCAAAAAAAAAAAAACTATTTCACATCAAGTTTTGCCTTGATCATAATCCCTTATGATACAAAAAAGCCCATGATCCAAATAAGTAAAATATTTAGTTCAATTCAGTTTATTTATATAGTGCAAATTCACAACACATGTCATCTCAAGGCACTTCACAGTTCACCAGATCATACAGTCAAATTGATTCAAAGTTTTCTAAGGAAAACCAGTTGATTGCATCGACTCATCGACTCAAATGCAATCCCTCATACTAAGCTTGATTGTAAATAACAAATGGATTAAAAGATCTAGGTATTTATTTAATGATTTAAGAACGAAATCTATTTATTCTTAATCTGTCGCATAATTCCTTCTTCCGTGGCACTGAACCATTAAAACCACCATTATTTGCTATCCCTGTGTGTAATTGTTACATCTTTGAAATTTTTATTTCTAATCACCTTGCTCTATACATAATCTTGTATAGGAAAAAAAGGTGTAAGAAAAGTTAACATGCTTTTGCTGAATCGTCTTTACACCACAGTAAAGATCAATGTTTTTAGGAGTCGGGTGGAAAAACTAACTTTATGTAGAAAGATCCCCAAACCTGCACATTAGGACTTGTAGGAGACTACAGATCCATGTCTCCTTAATCTAAAAGAATTTGACCTTTTTAATAGACTGCATCTTTTTATTCTTTGCTGAGTTTTTGAAGCCAAAGCAGAAGTTGAAATACCTCCTTATGGAGAAGGAGGATATTCTCCATCTAAAGAGACATAAACATGTTTCCTTTTTCTTTATTAGCTGAATTTAAACAATGTAAGTGAATGATAAATGTAAATCTAAATTTTTATTTTTTCTTTCTTTTGTTATTCTTAAAGGATTAGCAGTTACAACTCAGGCAAATGCTCTTCCTATGTAAAAGAAATCATTAATGATCGGTAGCACTGACTACATTTCAAGTAAACACAACCATATTTAACATTCACCTGACACTCTGTCTTCAACAACTACTAAGGCAATACAATCCTATACTTATATTAAGTTGCTTGGATGAAGTAAAAAATCTAATACATCTGTAAGTATAAAGGTTTATTTTGATTCCTGAAATAAATAATTTGGTAATAGTTTTTAGAAGGAAGAGCAGAATTTTTACTGATTATCTGGTGCCTTTTTGGTTTAGCTGTAAACAAGTTTCTCATATTTATTGCAGGTTTACTTTAGGCTACATCTTTATTCTTCCATTACACTGCATTTGCTCAAAGAGGAAAGGAAATATACAAAATTAAAACACTTAGCCCCTCTTACACTAAGGTTGTTAAAAGTATCTATACTCGGAAAAGTATCCTGATACAATACTGATATGTTGTGGTATTGATACAAAATACAAGTGCTGTTTGCATAGATTTGCTATGTTTAAGATTTTTTAATTATTTGCAGATTAAAAATTCTAAATAAAAACACCTTAAATTATTGTCCTTTTGTGTCGTATTTGGACTATTTATTTTTACACTTATTGAACTAATAAAATTTGTGATTCTGTTGATACGTACTCTCTATGTTGAGATTAAAAGAGGTGAGATTTTTATGCCTTTAATTATTTGTCCCTTTTTGTTTTTACTCCCATGGTATCAAAACTGGTATTGAGTATTTTCCTGTGTATCGATGGTGAGTTTAAATGTTAGCATTGTGAGCCTAACTCAAACACAGAATCATGGATCAGTAGCTGATTTGGTAACTTTGAGTTTCTTTGCACACCGATCGAGTTGGTCTGTTGGAAGCCTAACTATGCTGTAGATTCACTACGCCTGTCCCTACAGAAGAGACGCTCCATCACTTAGGCTCATGTCATACATCAGGTCTTTATCCAATTCATAAGTTCACTACCATGGAGGTTTATACGGGTTAGAAATCAGTCTCTACTTAAGCTTCGTCAACATGTCTGTGTGTGTTTCAGTTCCAGCATGGAGTCATTGTTGCGGTGGACTCACGGGCCACGGCGGGCTCCTACATCGCCTCGCAGACGGTGAAGAAGGTGATCGAGATCAACCCTTACCTCCTGGGCACCATGGCTGGAGGCGCAGCAGACTGCAGCTTCTGGGAGCGCCTACTGGCCCGCCAGTGCCGCATCTACGAGCTGCGAAACAAAGAGCGCATCTCTGTGGCAGCCGCCTCCAAACTGCTGGCCAACATGGTGTACCAGTACAAAGGCATGGGACTCAGCATGGGCACCATGGTGTGTGGCTGGGACAAGAGAGGGCCTGGTAAATACTGCAGTCGCATTGCACACACCCTGCTTTGTAAAATGTTCATGCAGTTTAGGAACGGGACGATAAATGATTCACCTGATCGTTAATGTTTGTGAGTGACAATCATTTTAAATGGTGAAATACAGTTTTTTACTTGCATGCAAAATTAAATCTAAATGGTAAAGCATTTATGGCATAACAGCTTCAAACACACCATCCTATCAAACATGGTGGCAGAATCATGCCACCATGGAAAATGAATGGACATAAATAGAAAGAAATAAAACCTTAGATTTTTTTATTTTTTTTAACTTAAATGCTTCAAAGCAGGAAAGATGTTCACCTTCCTAATGACCATTTAGAAATACTGGTCCAGGGAGCTTTGTAAAGAGGTGTGCCACACCTTTTAGGTTATTTGGATAGAATTTAGAAAACCATGCAACGTGTTCCTTCCACTTCTGAGCAGTAAAAGTCTTAAACTGGCTTAAAAGTAAAATCTTTGGTTTGGAAAGAAATATATATTTTCCTTCTAAATCAAATTAATAGATGTAATTTAATCAATTCATTTTCCATTATGATGAATTAAGTATATTTGAATTGAATAATAAAAACTGCAAAAATGACATGCATTGCTATTATAAACTAGGATTTATTTTAATTATCCCATCTGGGAGGCGAGCTTATTATAAACGGAAACAAAAATTCAAGCATTGAAACGGTTTTGAAGCTTGCAGAATTACACAGTGAGCTAATTATTCCAGGACTGATCCGAGGGTATATCTAAGACCAAAAAGAAATGAACTGATGTCTCTCTGAGCTAAAGAAACCCAAAGAATACATTGATAGATCAAAATAAAAAAATCTAAATTTTCCAAAAATTAGACAGATATTTGACCTATTTTATTCTTCTTCAATTTAGTAGTTTAAAATTGTAGTACCTCCAGTTGGACACTAGATGGTACCGCAGCTCCTCTTTCTCTCCCCTTGTTTACATGCCAAGCTGTGCATTTTGGATGCCACATGTCGCGGGCCTTTACATCTCCAGGTGTGTTTAAAGGGGCTGCCACAGTGACATGGTAATGGGAAATCAATGATCCTGTGACTGAGGGCCAGAGAAAGTGCAGCTGGATGATGGGCGGTGGGTCTCATCCTGGACAATCGGGTCACATGTATAAATGCCATGACGCTAAGCTGCGATCAATGCCTGCTTTATCTTGTGGGGCCAGCAGCTCAACGACAAATGCTGGTGACATGCGCTAAATCCCCACCAATCAATTGGGGAGATAATGATCCCGTTATGAGTCCAATAGGTCATGTAATGTAAATATGTCGGTATTTCACTGCCGTCTCAGTGGTGACTGAGCGGAGAGGTAAATGTCATGGAAATTAAATCAATCATTATAAGGCAGAAAGCTCATTAGGGCGACTACAACGCCGTCAAGAGCACTTATTCCCCAGATGAAGCGTCTTAAGCTGCATGCAAAATAAACGGAATAAAAGCCACGCTAAGGAGCTTGACAAATGTGGCTCCCTGTAACAACATTACATATTATGACACTTGTAATCAGTGTACAGTTAACGGCTTTTATTTCAACGGAGGAAAAGGGCGACAGCGAAAAGTACGGACTCCTTTCAAGGGCAGGACGGGCTTGTAATAGGGTTGCATATGAATAATTGGGCCTCATTAAAGAAAAGAAGGGTGCTGTGTGATCTGAAGCGTTGTCAGACCCATGTGGCAGATAGTTTTACCGCTGCTCCCAGGAGGGTGATGTAATGGCTTCTTTTGTCACTACAATCACTTCCCTTTTTTAACCTCTAAGCCATTTTGTTGGGGGGAAAAACAGCAGAGGGACTTAATCGCGCCATCTTTTTCTGCTCACATCTAAATAGTGTTTTTCCTGGCCGCTGCTTACAGAGGCACTCCTTAAACACCTGTCAGCTGATTGATCAAGTAGAAGTCGTCTCTGCTGGCCGGCCGGCGCTGCTGCAAACTTCCTCCATCCGGCCAGCGTTTCCTCTGCTTCCAGGCCTCATTTTGTCACTCCTTTAAAAAAAATGCGCTACTCCGTGAGCGTGCACACGCCTGCTGCGTCAGGGCGGGAGGGAAAGACAACAAAGCTCCACAAAGACTCCAGGTGTGCTCTACCATAGCGCTTCTAAACTTGGACCTCTTAAAGAGTCCTCTACCACCTCCGTCAACCGTGCCACTCGACAAAAGAGGGCCGCTTTACAGCTCCCTCTCCCTGCCTATTATGCTTTTAACGAGTCCCTCACAGCTTCCAAGTGGAACAGGCAGGTCTTGGAATGGTAAATTACCCCCGTGCATACGCCGGCGCTGGATGATTATCATGGCAATCTAACGACAGGCTTAGGAAGCTGCAATTTGCCAGCTGAAACCAACACTAAGCTTTTTTTCTCTTTTCCTCCCAACACCCTGAAAAGCAAGTGGCTCTCGAGCTTTAATAGACTGTCACTAGTTAAGCTGAAAATCAGCGACGGTGCATTTTGATCTGCATGTGTTTCCGTTTTTGTTCATTTTTTTATTTTTTTTCACAGGTTTCTGCTTTGTGAAAGCTTTCTGAGGGGGAAAAAAACATGCCTTTTCGCAGGCTGGCTTCGTTTGGCCGTCTGTGGGCGAACTCGCAGGCTGGTGCTCGTCACTCTGGAGCCGAGGCCTGTGGGAGCGTGTGTCACGGCGTGGAACAAAATGTTGTGCATGTGTCCGTGACGTGTGGTGCGAAGCAAGCTGTCCCTCACGTGTCCGTCGGAGCATTGTGGGGCTGCGTTGCTCATGGGATTACGTTAGGGGCGGCTTGACTAAGGCTGAGAACACGACGAATTACCCTCCTTAGTGTGTCTGATATCAACAGGATGTGAGCAGAGGTTGTGTTATTTTATATTTTGCCTGTCGTCTCTGGCGAGGTGTGAGCTGCAGTTACCTGGCAGCTCAGGTTATGGGTCGATAGTTAATTTTTGGCCTGTTTGCAGCGAATCAATAAGATTCCAGAGAGCGGCCTCTGGGCAGACGGCGTTATGGGCCGCGCCTTGTCAGCAGGCTTCGCGGCCGGCTTCATTTTACTTTAAGAGGATGCAGCTGTTCATATCTGCCAGCCCTTGCTTCACTTGGAGGGGTTGCAGCTGCTCTTATGTTCTGTCTGGAGGATGTTTCAGATGCGAGTGCGTACATTTACAGACTTGTGCGTTTTGTGGTACATCATTACAGCTTTTGCCAGAGCTTAACTCCTTCAACCCTTCCTCCTTTCCTTCTTCACCCATCCTCTCTCCTCTCCTTTTAGGGCTGTACTACGTCGACTCAGAAGGTAACCGGGTGTGTGGCGACCTGTTTGCTGTGGGATCTGGCTCCATGTACGCGTACGGCGTGATGGACAGCGGCCTGCGGCAAGATCTGACGGTGGAGGAAGCCTGTGAGCTGGGACGCCGCGCCATCTTCCAGGCGACATACCGTGACGCCTACAGCGGAGGACAGGTCAACCTGTACCACGTCCACAGTGAAGGCTGGACGAGGGTCTCCCAGGATGACGTGCTGATGCTGCATCAGCAGTACAAAGAACAAGCGTAGCTGATGAGAAAAAAGAAAAGAGTGGTTGGAGAGAAGAAAGTTTTCTAAAGTTTAGTCACCCAAATGTTTCGAAAGGTTAACACATATTAAAAAGGACTCCACCTTCCAGTTTCACGACTTCTGTTACTTGTTGCTCCAGCTTTGTATCGTGTTAACAGTGGCAGTAAGCTCCGCTCACCTTGTAAGGATTATAATTTGAGGGGCTGCAGAGAGGCCGCCAATGATTCATTCTTCCTTAATGCAGTGTGGGAGTAGCGTGGTGCTCACCCTCTGTACCGTACTGTTCAGTTCAGATCCTACCTTTTAAAACTGCAATATCTTCTACAATAAAAATGTGTTCTTTCTCTCGTGTTTTGTTGCTGTTTTTGTTCTTTTACATTGAAAGATGACAGCAGTGGAACGAATCAATCACACTTATGGTCAAATTTTCATGTCTGTGAAAGGCATGGTAGTGGATTTTTCTTAATTTCTCTTCAGCACTAAAGTATTTTTTAATTTTAATCAAATAGAATGCACTGTACTGTTTTACTTTATTTACAATACTGAAGCATAAAGAGCTTTTTAAGTTGCATTTTGTAGATTGATTAGAACCCAAGAGTCTCGGCATGTTTGCTGCTGATTCTGTGTAATTAAATTAATTGAAAGGGCTGGGTTGAAGTGGTAGCAGCGGGCAAAATATAAACAGTAGTGCAGAAACCGACATTCTGCTTTGCCTAAATGTTCTGGAGTGCTTTAACTCAGAGATCAAAACCAGAAAAAGTAAACCACCAAATACTGTTTAAATAAATGGAAGATCAGCTTCAAACAGCCAATAATAAGCTCCAGGATGATTGAAGTTAACTCAGTGAGAGAAGGCATTAGGTGAGGCCAATATGGAGCTTTTTTTCCAGCAAGACTCTAGTTAAAATAATGAAAAATGGGATGATTTTGTTTCTAAATTTAAAACATGGTGACATAGGTATTATACTATCAGGAAGATTTTTTCCATCCTTGGACTTTTATATAAACCTGGTGATGTTGCTCTTAAAGCAACACCTAGAAAGCTGAAGAATGGTGGAATTTATTCCAGTTTTTCAGGGCTGTAAATCCTTTTATTAGTGTGAAGGTGGTTTACTCCTTCAGATTGGAGCAAAAACACTCAGTAACATCCAACTAAATAATAGTACAGTGATTCACTGAAATGCTACATCTTCAAGGATTACTTCTTTATTCTGTAATGGTTTGTGCTGTAAAGAAAATTGCAGATGCCGCTGTACCTTATTTTCACCTATTCTTACTTTCTGTAGCATGGATTTTTTTCCTCTGATTTATATGCTGCTCCCAGTTTCCAATCAGTTTAGTTATGTCATGCCAATACACACCTGTGATCTTAAGGCTGTTTACATAGACCATTCATTCAGATTGGTAAAAAAAAAAGTTCACATCTGAGGAAAACCAGCTGATTATCAAGTCATTGACCTGCAGGACACGCTCCTGGAGAAGCATGTGAAATTAGAGATCTGCTGTCGTTTTGTGGTTGATTACTGTATAATCCATCCCACCGAGCATGCATGCAGCAGCAGTGGAGGCTGGGAAAAACTCAACAGGAAGAAAACTTGTATTTCAAATGGACGAAAAAAGCACATAGTTGATCACAGTGAAAGCTGAGCTCATAGTTCTATCTAGGAAACAAACGGGACTAAACACTAAACTACGAATAAAAGCCCACTGATATTAGGATAAAACAATGTAATGTTACACTTTATTATTTATTCAAAAACTAGTGTTTGTGATCAGGATTGAAAAATTCACCACTTGCACCCTGTGCTCTTTATAGATGAAAGCAGGGTAACACTGAGCATATGTGACAGAGTCTGGAGACACAGTGGACAGCTATCTGCTGCCTGCAACATCCTTTAGCTTGAACAGTTTGGCAGTGGGTCAGTAATGATGTGGGGCTGCATTTCTTTGGAGTGCCAAACAGCCGTCCATGTTAGCCAGTGGTATCATGGCTGCCATTAGGTACCGAGATGAGATCCTCAGACCCCTTGCGACACCACATGCTAGTGCGGTTGGCCATTGGTTCCTCCAAATGCAGGACAATGCTAGACCTCATTTTGCTAGAGTGTGTCAACAGTTCCTGCAAGATGAAGGAATTGAAGCTATGGTCTGGCTCACCTGCTCCCCAGACATGAATCCGAATGAGTACATCTGGGACATCATGTCTCTATCCACCCACTGACATCACATTGCACCACAGACTGTTTAGGATTTGAAGGTTGCTCTTGTTCAAGTCTGAGAGGAGAACACTTAAGAGACCGCTCAACACCTATCAGGACTGCGCCGGGTGTTTTAGGGATGTCATACAGGCACATGGAGGCCACAATTTTTGACCTGTTTTAAGGATGTTGCATCAAAGTTCGATCAGCCTGCATAGTGTTATTCCACTTTTTTTTATGTTGAAAAAACTCCGAATCATGTCAGAGACTCCATATGAAACTGACCATATCAATGCGTTTTTTTCCACCATGTTTTTTTAGGGATGGAACGGTTTATGAAAACCGCCCGAACCGTTTGGTTCGACTGTCTTGGTTCGATTCGCGTGTGTTGCGTTCGGTTCATGCTTTTTCTCATAGGTGAAGCGTGTATACTCCAGAGCAGAAGGTGGCGGTACTGCGACCAAAGCCAACCACCAGTAGTAAACAAGAAGAAGAAGAAGCGAAGCAGCTTAGCTGGGTGTAGCAGAAAAAAATCAGTTGTTGTGGAGAATTGTGTGGGTATGGCGAGTGGGAAAGAACAGGAGTTGGAAGACGCGCCAGCAGCACTTTATAGGTCTGCTGTATTGGACCACTTTGCATTTAGAGTGACCTACGATGACGGCGGAAAGAAAGTTGTGGATAAAAGTGCAACAGTGTGCAAGCATTGTGCAACACGTTTTGTTTATGCTAACAGCAACATGACCAACATGTCAGGCTAACAATCAACATATACCAAACCGAAAATCGTGACCACGAAACTGTGAACCGAACCGAACCGTGGATTTTGTGAACCGTTCCACCCCTAAGGTTTTTTCTCTTATCACTGCTGTACTTTAAGAAAACGGAAATGTCATGAGAGCTGTACAAAACGAAATTACGTTTTGTATACAGTTTTGTGTAAGACTCCAAATCCAAGCCTCCATGTGATAACAAATTGGATTTTTGTAATTTTGTTTGTCAGCACTTTCAACTTTATAAAGAACACAGTATTCATTGAGAATATTTAATTACTTCAGATCTAGGACATGTTATTTGAGTTTAGAGCAGTGTATTTGTAGGTTTTATGTATTAGTCTGAGCATAATTAGATTAGAGAATTGCACCTTATCTAATTGTCATGATTTATTAAGGTAGTTGTAAAGTAATTCTGCCCTGGAATAATAATGGTTCGAATGGATCATAAAAAAACAAAAGTAATTCAACACCCATGATCAGTGTGTACATAAACTTTTCATCAGCACTGTATTTAGAGCTAGTGCTTCCATCTCCCTTTTAATTATGTTTGTTTTTTTTAAACCGCTGTTTGTGTTTACATTTCCATCATCTGTTCCCCCAGCTGTTGGGATTTGGAGGTACAACCAAAGCCCGTTTTGTCTCCTCTATATGTTCTGCATGTATTAGCAGGGAGTAGCTCTGTCTAAATAGCAGTATTTAATTGCACACCACCAGCCCCAGTAATTGTGCCTCCTGAGTTGTAGCAGTGTGTTTTCTTCCCTTCATTGATAATGTTGCCTTCCTCTGCTCACGTTGCACAAATGCGTCTTTTAATTGGGAGGGGAGAGGAAATTTATTCTTTAATTCCTGCCTGACACACTTTAGTTTTTTCCCCCCCTGCGCAATGTTCTGTGCCAACCCTGTCATGGTGCTCACAATAAAACGACCAGCACTGCAAGTGGGTGCCCCTCCGCTGGTTTTTATGCTTTGTAGTAAACACTAATAAAGGGAATTGGATGGAGGGCTGAGGCACTTTGAAACGATGGTTAAAAACTAGTTTCACAGGTGACTACTTGGCAGATGGAAAAGAAATAGGATTTCGATAAATGTAAATGAGCGAATCTCGTATGGGATACTGCTCTGGTTAAATGAAGTGGTGGTAGCTGCAGCATCAATAGAGGCACACGCTGATGGAGAAGTTTGGCTGCTCAGAGACATGCTAAACAGCTGCAGATTGGCCTTGATGTTTTACGGGGATGCTGCTTTTCCCTTAAAACATTAAAGCTAACCTAACATGCTAATGGCTGGGAATTGTCTACATTGCATAAGTGGAGAAAATCCAATTCGACAGCCGCTTTCTATGATAAGATTTTCTATAATCATGGATGTAAAATGTGAAAAAAAAATTGGGTGTTAGGAGGTTTAGCTCGATTCACTGATTTTGCAGCATATTATACAATAATCTGGCTGATTAAGTGTCAGTAAATCTATTTAAAAATGTATATTTTGTTTGTTTTGTGTACCAAAGTTCTATTTACATTAACACTCCAGCTCATTTAATGAATTGTGTGTATTACCTAAATAATAATAAATCAGTTGCAAAACTGATTGAGCTGAATGACAGACAGAGATGGCAAAAGTACTCACTTTCCGTACTTGAGTAAAAGTACAGATACTTGTGTTAAAAAATACTCTGGTAAAAGTGGAAGTACTGATTAAACTTCTTTACTCAAGTAAAAGTAACAAAGTACAGGCTTGTAAATTTACATAAAGTATAAAAGTAAAAGTAGAAACCACTTTTTTCATGCCGTTGCCTACATTTTAAATGGATGTCTGCCAATAGAACTAGATCTCTGTTGTGTTCATTTTCAATCATCTCGTCGTCCATGCTACTATGCTAACGCCACCGCCACCAAGCTGCAATTATTTGCCCCGAATGAATACCGCCGAATCTGTCGATTCATCTTGTAGTGGTGTGTCAAATGCAACGTAGATTCCCATCCAAGTAGATTGAATTTGGTATTGATGACGTGAAAAATAATAACGGTAACTCCATTGAAATGATTCAAAACTAAAGTAACGAGCCAATTTTTCGTTACTTCCCATATCTGATGATAGAGTACCTATAAGGTTTGCCTCCCATTCAAAACTGCACTATATCTTGACAATCGTCATATTTATGATCCATATCCACATGATAGAAACATTGGATGTTTGTTGGCCACAGATAAAACACATCAACACAAAACTGTCCAGAAGTATTTCAGTCCTAGCAAGAGCTAAGTACATTCTGGATCTCAAAGCACTTCACATCCTATACTGCTCACTACTATTACCTTATTTAAATTACTGAGTAGAGGTTTGGGGGAAAACTTATCAACACTCACTACAGCCACTAGTC